TGGCGGTTGCTGTGCAGCTGCCCGCCCCTGAGGGAGAGGGCGGAGGAGGCCATACCCCCAGCCCTCCGACCATGGCGCCTTCAAGGCCGGTCCTGCCTCCCCAGGGAGAGGAGCCATCCCACGGCGCAGAGCCGTGGGCGCTGGGGGTCCCGTGTTCAGGTCCGGCCGCAGAGCGCAGCTGTGCCCGTGCTTCCCGGCTGTCCTGATGCTCCTTGTGCCTCTGCTGTCCCGGCTGCTGCAGCAGGGAGGCAGCGACAGAGTCATCCCGCCCCTGCCCCAGTGTGCTGGCAGAAGGTGCCTGAGCAGCCCTTGGGCACACTGGGGTGGAGACCTGCTGGGGCTGCCTTGCTGCTGCGGCCTCTGGACCGGGCTGTGACTGGGGCTCCCTCCCACCCAACTGGGATCCCTGGGGGGAAGTCAGGGATGGTGGCAGTGGCCTGCTGTGGGGCCTGGGAGAAGCGTCTCTCTGGCACTCATCCCTGTTCCAGGAGTGCTGAGGGGCTCTGACAGCTTGCTCTCTCCCTTCCCTTCTGTTTTCCAGATGAGTTTGCCACTCAGGAGTACAGCGCTCCCTGCACCACAGGTAGGGTACCGAGAGCCCTTCCCTTCTTCACAGTTCTCCTCTTCATTGTATTTTTGGTTTTCCATCTAGCGCTTGTCTCTTTCTGCCCAACGGGTAATTTGGATGAGATTGGCCCAACTCACAGGCATAGATTTTTTATGCAAAGCTGAGAGCACAGGACGCACAATGTTGTTGGCTCATTCAAAATCCACCATCCCTGAATTATCAGAGTTGTTTCCATAGTCGGGTTCTCCTGACTTGAATGAAGGTTGTGTCCCTATTGTTCTGTTACTGCCCCTTGGACTTTTTCTTTGATTTCAAGTTTCTTATATCATTCTTGTTATCTCAGATTTGAGGTATCTTCTGGTCCTTCCTGAGACCTCCAGCTAGTGTAGCTGTGGGATCATGCTGAGGGGACTTGGCTCTTTCAAACCACCCGGCACACTCCTCCCCAAAAGCACCCTGTCTAGAGCAATAGAGCAAATCAAGGCCACCAAAAGATACCCCATAAAGCAGCATGTCATGGTCTGACCTAGCATGATTTCATGCTGTGCTCCAGAACCTCCTGCCCAAGCCTGGCATACCTTTTCTAAAGCTGTAATGCAGTGCTGCTCTTAGCTCCTCGCTTCCTACTTTGAGCATGGAGCCATACCTGCTCATACCTGCTGTAGGAAGTCCTCATTACAGAGAAATTCCTCCTAACCCTTGCTATTGAAGAGGTAAGTGTTTGACTTTTATAGAAACTTGGGGTTGCCTCTCTTGTATGGTGACAGAAAACTGCCCTGGTGGTAGACCCCCACCTGTACACACAGCCACATCACTTGTCTGTGGGGGGGGTCATAGTTCTCCAATATGGCACCCTAGCCTGCTTAGGAACTCTATGTGGCAAAGCCCACAGCGGTGCTCGCACATTGCAGCACGCCTTTAAGCAATGCCATCCTCCTTGGATCCTGAGAGATGGCAAGTTTGCCTTTGGTAGCTACTATCTGGAGCAACAGCTGCTTCCTGCTCAGCTACCCTGCTGCCCAAGCAGGAGGGGGTCTCTCAGGAAGCAAGTATTCCTCATGACCCTCGACAGCCAGCCCTCAGTCTTGGTTTGGAGCCTGAGCTAGCAGGACAGAGAGGCTATGATCTTTGGGGAGTTCTCTGCAGTGCAAGGCCACATGAGTTTAGCTTAGGAGCACAGGTAATGTAGGAGCTTCTGTGGAAGGCCCTGACCAGTGATACTTCTCCTGTACTATATGGAGTCTTCCAGTATGAAGACTGGCAGGTCTGGCTTCCCATCAGTTGCTCAGTTTCAGATGTTTGGAATATGGAGGCTTCAGGAAAGCACTGAGACCCTGGGAAGTGGTTTTTCACAGGGCCTGACTGTGGCATCTGAGAGCAGAGAAAAAGTGATTTGGACTTGGGAAAGGTGAAAGCTTTGTCTCTTGCTGGTAGTAAATGGTGAAATTTATCTCCTTTTGTGTTCTTATCTGGTGTCTTGGAAAAAAGCCCGAGCTCCCACGCTTTTACTCCATACTGCTTTGCTAACCTGGGCTGTGTCCGTAGGTACAGCTGTGTTCTGCTGATTCTGGGCCTACAGCCTCCCTTCATGGAAAAAAAGTGCATAAATCCTAAGATAGACACTGAGTGGACAGTAAAATGTTTCCAAAGGTTATGTTGGTGTGGTCTGGCTGTCCAGTCTGAGGCTAGGGGGGAGGCTTTAGAATTTAGGCTACTCTTCCCCATGTGCACTAAAAGACAGAGATTTTATCCTCCTTGGAAAAGATGATGGGAAATCGCTATTTAAGAGGTCCATCCACTGGTCTAGGTGTCCAAAGGTGCTCTGCCCTGACTAAAAGGCAGATCTCAGTTGCAAAGTAGAAAACTGCCTTCCCTGCCCTGAACAGTGCTGTCCACTTGTGCAGCACATTCTTTCCGCTCTCTGCAGAGAAATAAATACACTTTAAGAGCATGTCTCATTGCTGCAGTGGACATCCTTGCTGCCTGTTTGCACTGTGCTCCCATGTCCATCCCAGTTGTGACAAATTCCATTCTGCTTATCTCTCCCAGTGGGTCAGAAAGAGTCTCAGCCTTCTCTCAACCTCACATGGCTTTGAAGGTGACAGGAGTGTTGAGTGCTATGGATGACCCTCAACCCTGATCAAACAGCAACCCACTCTCCTGTACTGTGCTTCCCACACAACGTGGCTTCCCAAACCCACATCTTGCTCTCTCTGTCTCTCAGCCTGAGAGAGGGAACTGGCATATCTCTCTAACTCCTGTACCCTCCCGTCTTCTTTCATCCTTGCAGAGGAAGTAGACCAGGGCAACGCATGAAGAATACTCCCAGTTGCTGGAACCCACCTGACTCACTACTACCACCACCACCATCTATGGAGAGGATGGAGTGACAGATGAATAGTGCCTGCAAGGAATGGGAAATGAACTTTACAAATAAATTAACTGTACTCACCAATGATTTTTGAACAGTTCATTCCCAATTCTGTTTCTTCCTACTCAGCCTCCAGTCACAGCTTTAATCTCCCTGGCTTCTTAGTTTGAAGAGCATCCTATCCAGCCATGCCTGTGTGCAGGGTAATAAGGCTGACAAGTGAGGGAAAAAAAAAAAGAGGACGGAATGATTTAAGTTGGGATCAGCCTTTCTAATGTAGCCCTCTCAGTGTTATGTACTCTGAACTTGTCATCTGAGATCCTGTCTAATCCACAGAGAAGGACAGGTACCTCTTGAGAACAATTTCTCTCCCCTGGCTTAGAAACTATAACCTTGACTGAACTGGTCTCTGCAGGTGCCTATCCATGCCTCCCACCGGTAGGCAGCCTGGATGATCAGCTAATGTTACATGAAATTCAACCGCTGTGGTGTGCCCCGTAGACACCCCTTCCAGGATTGTTTCTTGTTTGTAGAAGAATGGCAGGAGATTCACACTCTGCCCTCTTGTAAGATTAAAGTGTGCATGGGGGGGCAGGAGGGATGTGTGCATGCATTATGCCTTCAGCTGCTAACTTATAATGGCCTGTTCTCCAGTTGAAGCTTGAGCCTTCTCGTGGAAAATTCCATATCTTGTGCCTGCTGCTTCTGGGAGATTCACAAGGAGAAGCTAACGGCATTTGCCAGTAACCTACCTACCTAAGTCTAGTTTAAATTTATTTAAATCATAGAGTTGCTTTGGTGAAACTGTCCATAGCCCTCTTAGACATCTCCAGGAATGCCCCCCTTTTCTTGGTTTTGTCCCATTAATTTCTGGTTTTAACTTTTGAACGGCAGAAAGATCTTCCGTGACTGTTTATTCTCATGAAATGCTTATTGTTAGGTATCATGGCTTATTGTGTATCCAAAGTACGCACTGCTAGTTGTTCCATCCAATTTTTTTTAGTGTGCCTATCCAAACAGTGTTATTGAGAACAAATAAAGTTCTTAATCTATTTTGCTAGATATCAATATTGTGTCACTTTGTCTCCTGTGGTGTTTGGCGTTTATTCACTCAAGACCTTTTTGACACCTCATATTCAGACAGGTCTATGGAATGAACTGGCTTCAGTGAAAGCTGAGCAAAATTTCTAATCAAGCATGAATACTAATCGCATTTTGCTTTGATTTAGAAATGGTAAAGCCATCTATTTTCCTACCATGAGGCAATTACTTTTCCAAAGCAACATAGCTTTTGGTTGCTGAATGAAATTGTTTTGATTTTAGCCCATTGTGATTTGCCTTTGAAGCATGCAATCCTTGCTCCATGGGGATAGAAATTCAATGTTCAGACACTCCTGTACTTCCTTAAGGTAGCCTTGCTAAAGTTTCCTACGCGGTATGCCATGGAGGACCTGCAAGTATGTGACTTTGATGATTCACAGCCTGGTCAAGCAGAGAGATATTAAACTGCTTTAGAGATATGGGCTAGCCAGGGAGCCCCAAATGACAAGTGATGTGGCTGCCCATGGGCAACAGTTAGGCATTGCCTAATTTAAAACCGGGTGGCAGCAAAACATAGTGTTAAGTCTTTCCATGATAGAAAGCCATTATCCAAATTTTGTGAATGGAACATACTCCAGTGATTTTACAGACTTTTAAATTAAATTAATATGATGATCACTTTGTTTCATTTGAGGCAGAAAAGATTCAACTCCATAACCATGGTAGAGTACTTGCCAAAAAGTAAATGAAAATGAAGGCACTGTTGCCATCCATCTACAGCCAGCTGTAAACGAGGGTCTGTATTTGCAGACCTGTGTCTGTATGCACAAGTTTGCAGGCCTGGCACTTTTGAACCTGCTTTCCCTTAACTAATGGTCTCAGCTGGGACTGTGTCTCTCCAGCACAGTCACTCTCTTATGACCCCACAGCAGGGGCACAGCTATAAAAGGGGCCAGAGCAAACTGCTTTCCTCCCACAGTGAGGAATTCTGGCTCATGAAGGGGAAAGAGGGTCTTGAGACACCCACGTGGATGATGAAAACGCAAAGACCTTCAACATCTCTGGAACAAGTACAAGTTCTTTGCTGCATCGGTGACTTACATTTTTGACAACCTGGGTCTGTGTGCATGAAAGAAGCTGCATGAGAGACTCATATAGGTGTGTTTGCTTAAGCTTACGCTGGCAGGGTCAAAGGCACCTCTGCACACAGAACCATGTAAATAAAATACACAGAGTGCCATATGACCTACTGAACTAAGGCTGATTGCCTCTGCATCCCTGGGAGAGATCTGGACTGGAGAGAATGTGAACATTTGGAAAATCGACATGCAAAAAGTTTAACCCAAAGCACCACATAGGAATCCACAGCCTCCCCTCTGAGGAGCACTGTAAGCCTAGTTGTGAGGGAGAAAAAGAAACATGTATTAAAATTACTAGAAAAAACAGAATAGATCTACAGGCCTCCACTGAGGGGAAGAGGATAAAGTTCTCATGAAAAATGCAAGGGGTTTGGCTCATAAGGCAGTTCTTGGTTTAAATTTTGACTAATGACACTGTTAAGTTCCCAGTCCCTCTCTGATTTCACTTCAACTGTTTAGAAACAAGCAGACAATTTCTTCACTGCCAGAATGGGGAAGTCCACAGGTTTTCCCTTCACTTCTATCTGGCCTGCTGTGAAAGATCAGGCTGGACAGGTTCACACTGTCCTTCCACCTCATAGCAGTGATTTCACAGCAGGATCAAAGGTGGTATGTGATCACAGGTTTATGTCCAAGGATTATCTTGCAGAAAACACCCACTTTTAGAGGCAGGGAGCCAAGCTTCCAGTGCATAATGGATCATGTAGGATCATTCTCTCCTCCTGGAGAACTGGCAAGTATGGAGGCGAACCTCCCCACTGCCAAAAGCTGCCTGCCGCCTGGTATTCCTGAGGAGTTGCCAAATACCACCATGCCGTGGATGGCTCTGGATTTAAATCTCAGGCCATTACACAGTCTGAGCTATGGATGGGAGGAGAGACAAGATGCAGCAACAAAAAGTAAGGCCAGAGGCATCTGATGAGAATCAAGACATTTTATTCATAGTGTTACTTCCTTTTCGGTGTTGAGGTGTCCTCCTCTAACATTTCAATAGGCCCCTCAACAAGAAGATCTTCTAGGGGCAGAGACGCAAGTTGATCCAGCAAGGCTCAGATAAGATGTGCTCTTCAGGCATTTCCCTGTTCAGCCTTGGCTGGAGGTGGGAAAAGGACAGAGTGAGATAAGTATCCTGGTGAAGCAGTGTCCAGAGCCCTGGACATCTTCTCTGTGTTCTGGTGGCTATATGAGTTCAAGCCGTGTTAAAATCTGGGAAACTGCTTCACCTAAAAATGCCCAGTTGCAGACAGGTAACAGAATGGGAATGGCTGGACATGTTCAAGATATTCATGCTACAGAGAGGGGAGGGGAGGCAGAGATATCCTGGACATACATGAGCTACCCCAGTACACATTCTCTCTCAGCACCTGGATTTCCCAAAGGAAGGGAAAAAATAACCCAGGGCAGAGTCTGAAAGGTCCCCACCAAAGATGTGTGAATAACATCAAAATTTCACCAATACGTTTGGGAGACAATTCCTCAGTACCCTTCTGTGTCTGCAGCATGGCAAATGTGGCCCTGAAAAGGGCAGAGATGCAAAGGCTGCATGTGGTGTTCAGTCCCAAGGGAGATTTCAATCTTATTTGTACAATGTGACACACACACGCAGGAGAAGACAAATGCATCTGTGCGAATGAAGGCAGTAACACTGGGATTGCCATTCTCAGTGAACCGAAATGAAAGCTGTATCTGATCTTACACAGGACATGGGGTGGCAGCATTGCTTTTCCTCTCTGTACTGAGGCACACCTAGAGACTGCAATAGGCACAGTGCAGTTAAATGCTGAGAGTACATGCAGGCTGAGGAAACCCAGGTGTGCAAAGACTCTCATTCGAAACAACCTGCAATAGCCCATGCCGGAACATCTCAGTTCTTCCTGTGCACCCTACCTGCAGTGCAGGGAGCGCTGTACTCCTGAGTGGCAAACTCATCTGGAAAACAGAAGGGAAGGGAGAGAGCAAGCTGTCAGAGCCCCTCAGCACTCCTGGAACAGGGATGAGTGCCAGAGAGACGCTTCTCCCAGGCCCCACAGCAGGCCACTGCCACCATCCCTGACTTCCCCCCAGGGATCCCAGTTGGGTGGGAGGGAGCCCCAGTCACAGCCCGGTCCAGAGGCCGCAGCAGCAAGGCAGCCCCAGCAGGTCTCCACCCCAGTGTGCCCAAGGGCTGCTCAGGCACCTTCTGCCAGCACACTGGGGCAGGGGCGGGATGACTCTGTCGCTGCCTCCCTGCTGCAGCAGCCGGGACAGCAGAGGCACAAGGAGCATCAGGACAGCCGGGAAGCACGGGCACAGCTGCGCTCTGCGGCCGGACCTGAACACGGGACCCCCAGCGCCCACGGCTCTGCGCCGTGGGATGGCTCCTCTCCCTGGGGAGGCAGGACCGGCCTTGAAGGCGCCATGGTCGGAGGGCTGGGGGTATGGCCTCCTCCGCCCTCTCCCTCAGGGGCGGGCAGCTGCACAGCAACTGCCAGTGTGAGGGGCAGCCATGCAGGGTTCCCCACACCGTCACCACTGCCCAGACCTGCCCCCCGTTGTTCTCTGGGGCCTGCCCGGGCAGGGGCAGGAGCAGGAGGGAGGAGGGCAGGGTGGTGGCCTCCAGCCCTCTGGGCCACCTCTGCCCTCAGAGAGCTCAGGCAGCGTGAGGGCGGGACAGGGCCCAGGCCAGGGGCAGCTGCAGGTCCCCACAGCTCCCACACCCCTCCACGCATCCCACTGCCCACCCTCGCTCCCACGGGCACCCCCAGCCCACACTCACCTGTCTCGTAGTAGTCATAGACCTTCACCTGAGCTGGCTTCAGGCCCTGCACGGGGATGTCCCGCTCCACCGTGAAGGAGAAGCTGAGGGTCTCGCTGCTCAGCTGGGGAAGGGAAGCAGCGGAGGCTCAGGGGCGGCTCCGCACTGCCCCGGGCTCCCCTGTGCCTCCGCACTGCCCCCAGGCTCCCTCGCTCTCCCCTACCACCCGTGCCCGGGCCCTGGGGGGTGCGGAGGCTGCAGGCCTGGCTG